TCTGCCTGTCTGTCTGCTTAATGCTACTGTTAATTACATATGTTTTTTAAATTATTGGACTAATATTAGAAATAGGTAATGAGAGCTAGTATGATACAGTGGCTAAGGGGCTGTATTAGGAGTAGAGAGATCCACGTTCTAGTCCTCCCTTGGGCATGGAAGCTAGCTAGATGACCCTGAGGCAGTCTTCCCTCTCGGTCTTAATCAGCATCAGCCTTTACAACAAGAAAAACAACAGTCCCCATCGCATCATGCGTTGATAGTTCCTTTGTAAGAACTAGGTGAGCAGAATGTAAAATAAGCAGACCCTGCAGCCATGCAGGACAAATGCTAAGAAAAACAACTAGAATTGGAGAATACTACCAACATTGTACTAATACCCCTCAGCCAGTGTTTCTGCTCTGATCAGAGACTATAAAAGTTGTTCCGCTATCTAATCATAATCCCACTATCTATTCTAATTATGTCAACAAAGGGAAATAGGATTTTTTCAAAAGGAAACAAAAAACCCCCCCAAAACAAAAACAAAAACACATTATTAATAGACTGAACACATACCAGAGGGCTGTTTTATTCCACTCCTTAGACTTGTTACTACAGATACACAAATCATTCCATTCTAGGAATCAGATTTTCCAAGGAATTCCAGGACATTCTGTTTTTTATTCAATTCCAGCCATTAGAGGTGTGGTCTGGAAAGGAAGTGATTAATAATTTTCAATTAATTTAAGGGAAATATGCATAAATAAATCTTGCAAGATTGTATTCATTTAAAAAAAGATAAAGGAGGATATATTGCATAACTAAATAATTTGATCAGCCACAATCATTGGCTTGTTATAAGAGCAAATTCATTATTTAAAAACTGCTGCTTTAAAAATATAATTTGAAAACCCATGGGGCATCTTGACAGAACTGGAATCCATCTTTATGTATGGGAATTGAAGGTGGAAACTAAAACTCTTATTTTAAGAGGTGCCAATGAAAATATTTGTGTATCTTCAAAGTGTTAACTCCCAGGCATTTTACGCATGGCTTTTTGAAGCAAGTATATTTTGGAAAAGGAAAACAATTTATATTTGATCTCTGTTTATCTTACTTGTATATTTGAAATTAAAGAACTATTTAAAGGGATTAAGCTACTATTCATAGGTGGTGTCTCTACTATACTTACATATACATTAGAATTGAAACATAGAAATTGTTTTGCTACTACCTCTACAACTCTTTTTTTTAATATTCAGAGCTTTGTATCTTGTTCTTGCTATTTTTCCATAGGCTAAGTTTGACACCGAAATGCCATGCGAGACTGTCAGCAAGATACATTTGGTAGACTTAGCTGGAAGTGAGAGAGCAGATGCCACTGGTGCTACAGGTGTCAGATTAAAAGAAGGAGGAAATATAAACAAATCCCTAGTTACTCTGGGGAATGTAATTTCTGCCTTAGGTATATCTCTTTGTTTTATGTTTAATTCATTGCAAAACTAAACTAATACTGAACTCATTATCCATCCCTCTATAAAAATGGCCTATTTCTTCTTTCATAGCTGATATATCTCAGGATGCCTCAAACCCTCTTATAAAGAAAAAACAAGTATTTGTGCCTTACAGGGATTCTGTGTTGACATGGCTTTTGAAAGATAGCCTAGGAGGAAACTCTAAAACAATAATGATTGCAAGTAAGTGTGTTTTCAGTTATGTGAATGTTCATGTCTGTCTATTTAAAAAAAGTTTTATGCAGATCAAATTGATTAGCATGACATACAGTATGTTCATTAAACAGTTGTACTGAGAATACAGTATTATTATATTATTTTTAATAATGTAATCTTTATATCTAAACTTTAATATGGGCCTACATAGGAGTGGGGGAAAAAAACTATGAAAAGAGTCAGTTTATGTCATAATGCTCTTCATAATAATCTTCAAGATCCTACAGAATTATAAACTTGTAAGGAAATCATATCTTCTCATAGACATTTGAAATCATTCCCAGATTAGTGATATATAATAAGCTTCCCATTAGAACCATGTATAGAAATGACAACTACATTAATATTTTTCTATAAGTGCCATTCCGGCCATAGCAGCAAAAGAAACCATTTGTTTTTTCTCCACTCATAAGGAGCTTTCAAGACTTCCAAATGGAACTTGGTATTGGTATCACATAATTTTGAAATCATTTTTCTCAGCTATATCACCTGCTGATGTCAATTATGGAGAAACATTGAGCACCCTTCGCTATGCAAACCGAGCTAAAAACATAATCAACAAACCTACCATTAATGAAGATCCAAATGTCAAGCTAATTCGTGAGCTTCGAGCTGAAATTGCCAGACTGAAAACTCTGCTTGCTCAGGGGAACCAGGTTAGAGACACCATTGATTTCACAATCTCATATAGCATATTCTGTTTAAAATTATATTAACTTGTATAAATCAATTCTAGATTAGATGTTTCTTGACAATGTTTGCCTATGAATAGGAGACAATTTAGGGTAGTGTTGAATGTTAGATTTATCATCGAATTGCAGTTATTACTGTATAGTGTTGAGCCAGCAGAAATAGTTTTAAAAGTAGATATCTCACAATTTATCTTATTTAAACACTGAGTTCTATGTTTTGTGGGGTGTGCTTTGTATAGAGAAAAGGAATAGATTTGGGCCTTCTGTCTTTGACAGACGAGGAATTCTTTTGTGCTTCTTGCATGTAAGCAACTTTAGCTTTTGTTTCATTGCAAGGAAAAGTTGTTGTCTGCCAAAGAAGCACGACCAAGTCTTTCTTCAGGATAAAGAATTTAACATGATGATGGCACTTGTTCTCAACCTTGATTTCATAATTCCTTATTGAAGCAACACTATTCTCTGTTCTGCAGTTCTTTACATCTACAGTACAACCTCTGGTACCTCAACAGCATTGCAAACCTATAGATCTGGGCTTGAAAAACATAGCATGTTTTCTTATAAGGCAGTAGTTAGTGTTGTGATTAGTAGAGAAATTAAAAGAAGTAAACTTTATGCTGGAGTTTCTATGCATATTCAGTGGGAAGTAAAGAGAGATGTAATGTGGGCAAACACACATAACTCTTTTCTCTGAAGTAAGTCCTGGCTACTTTGCATTATCAATTTTATCTCAAAGTAGTAGCAGAATATTACTAAAGCACAGTTTAACCATTTTTGGAAATACTAACTCTAGTTACTGAAATCCTTTAGGGACTATGACATCCTCTGTTTAGATGAACTTTCTCCCCCTCCAGCAGGTCACCTCAGCCCAAATTGCAGTAGGGTGCAATCTTCTGGAGCTGATTTTAATGGCATGTAGGAGACTGCATTAGAAGGGGGCATCAAACCCTCTCTGTTTTGCTGACTGACTCCATTCTAAAAAGGAAGGAACTTAAATGTATTCCACTCATTATTCCAAGATAATAAAATATTGTCGTAGATACAATTTCTAAAAGTATTGAAGAACTGAAGATTTTCTTGTACCATTTGAATCTCAATCTGCCATTTATATAGTTTTGACATCGTTTTTTCAGTCTTAAAGGAAGTCCTTCAGGTTGTATATAAGATGAAATGACATTAAAACATGTCTATTCAGTTTGCTGCCTAGATGCTAACTGTTGATGAGCAACTTCAAAGCTTTTGCTTCCTTTTTAATAGTTCATTATCTTTTCCTCAGAGGTGTTGAAGTGTTTTTCAAATAGATGATGCCTTCAAAATAAGGATTGTGTTTCATACAGAAGAGAACATCTACCTTAGAGGGTGAGGGGAAGATAACTAAACAGTAGGACTGGGAAAATATCCTGGGCAGAGTCTACACTGAGTCTTTTTAGTTGAAGTACCATATTATATTTTTTTCCTACTCGGTGGGCATATGCTAATGAACACAATGTAGCGTTCCTGTATGAATAATGCAATCAAGGGTGGCACATATTATTGCCTATTATTGTAATTGCAGGGGAGAAAAGAATAGTTTGCAAGATCATATAGGATTTATCATAGATGCTGAAAGGATAAGCATATGGCCTAGTATAGCACTGCAGTTGGGAGGTACTGCTTTTTCAGTTTTCTTTTTTTAAAGTCAGCCACACAGGAATGTAGATTGCTTTCCATAGGCAGTACGGTCCCCAGTGGAATCCAATCAGTTCAGTTCATTTCTTCTTTATTTTCATTGCCATTGTATTTCCCTTTAAAAACAAAAATGAGTAAGAACACATGCAATTCCACAACTATGCAGAAATATGGATGCTTTGGGTACAGGAAAAAGTAACCTATAACAAAAATCATGTAAATCTACATCCTATAAATTTCTCTCTCTCCCATTCAAAGAAGAATATCAGTGCAGATAATTGGAAAATGTTGCAAAACAGATATTTAAAGTTATCCCTATTAGTAAATATTATAATACTGCTATATTAGAACATAAGTAACCCAGTAGTTCAAGGAAACAGCAACCCCTCACAAGTCGTAAGTTTAATTTTTTTTTTTTAACGAGTTCTTCATCTGGGTTTGAGTTTCCTGGAAGAAAGGGAAATTCTTGTACTTGCATAAGAGCATTTATATTTTGTGATGTACCAGTTGAAGGTTTTGAAGCACATTGCAACCAGTGGCCTTGTTTTTCATCTTAAAAACTAGCTATCCTCATTACTTCTTAAGGCTCCAGTGCAATCTTTCTGTGCTGAAGATTCAGATTAGTCTTTTCTGCTGAAATCTCTAAGATTAATTGTACAGTTATTTTCTGGACAATAACATTGAATATTGTGTAACATAGCTAACATGTCTTCTTTGTATAATAGTTTGTTTCATCTGTTTAACTAGATTGCACTTCTGGATTCTCCAACAGCTTTGAGTATGGAAGAAAAACTGCAGCAGAATGAAGCAAGAGTAAGTTTTATTTTGTCAAGTGCCTCAAGCACCAACACTTTTAGACTAGTTCTATGTATATATTGATTGATTATGTGCCAACAAGTCATTGAGAACTCTTAGTGTAAATAGACCTTTTCCAGGATGATCTGTCCCCAACTTGGACCCCCAAGCATCCTTAGGTGCACCTGTTGCTCCTATAATGGAGTCCATCCATCTTGATAATGGTTATGCTTTTCTTTTTTCTTCCACCTTTCCCAGCATTATGGACTTGTCAAGGGAGCTGGATCTTTGTATAATGTGCAAGAAGGGAATCAATGTTTGTATTTACATTCATTGGAGAGGAAGGGATTACAAGGCACACAATGGAGAATACACAAAAGGAATAGGTCAGGCACGGAGAGATTGCCTAAACAAGCAATCTGTTTAGGTAATCTCTCCTGTGTCTAACCCATTTTTTTTTCTTTTACCCCCTTGCAGAATGGAGAGTTGGAGAGGAACAGATTACAGGAGAGTAAGCAGGCACACAATGGGGAATATGCTGGCTATTTGCCTAGGGTGCTCACGGCTCCTAACCCTAAGCATGCTAGGCAAACAGCCGACATCAGCGCGTTTCTTTTGATGTGTATTTCCCATTGTGAATCTGCTTGTAATCCCTTCCTCTCCAATCTCTTCACTCTGCAAGGAAGAGGGGGAAAAATGGGTCAGGCCTAGGATCACACATACTAACTGACCATAACGGCAAACACGTGATTGAGAGAGAGAGACCCTGTAAAGGTCATAAATGCGCACCTTGTTCGCAAAGTTATTTTTTTAACACCGTTGTAACTTTGAATGGTTGCTGCACGAGGTATTCAATAAGTGAGGCCTACCTGTATACTCAGGATGAATCCCATAAAATTTAATACCTAAGATTGCGAACTTTCCCATTCCATTTTAACAGGCAATTTTTCTAATACTTTACTCATTTTTATTTTTTATGTTGCCATGCATTCCAGTGAAAACATGGTCCTTGGAACAATATGTTCATAGCTTAAAAGCCAAAAATACAAACAGAACAACAATATAGTTAAGCACAATATCTGAACTCATAAAAAACGAAGCTTCTCAACCTTTCATTTAAATCAAATGTTGATATGTCAAATCAACTGAATGAAATTGATTCAGTGTCTTGTGTTTATCCATTTCTGTCCCCTCCATATGAACTCAACTCAGCTTTCTCCCATCTTGTGCCCTCCAGATATGCTGAACTTTTTTGTGTGTGTGGGTGTGTGTCTTCAAGTCAGTCCCTCAGATTTCCAGGAAGCATAGCCAATGAATACACTTGAACTGATCTCAGCCAAAATGCTGAGAAAAATCTCAGCCAATGACTGTTTTGGCTGAAAATTGTTGGTCTTGTAGGCTCAAGACCCCACAAATATTTTAACCAGGGTTGTCCTCAGTGGATGTCCAGGTGGTGAGGGGGCAAATAACAAAGCAACATTAGCCATAAGCCCCACCCCTTTTGTATGAGTATTGTAATATCATACTCACATACAAAAGGAGTTAAGCTTGAACTGCAACACTGTGATGCTGCTTTCATCATTTTGATGAAATCATCAGTTTCTGTGGACACCTCTGGCTTTACCCTTTCCAAAATAGTGTCTGTGCTTGTACTGACACTCAAATGCATGATATTTGCTGAAATTAAAAATGCTAGTTTGTTAAAGGTAAAAATTCCCTTGAGTTGAGTTCAGCTTCTGAGGTTACAGAATCAACTGTTTTCATGGCAACAATACAGAAGTAGTTTGCTATTCCCTTTCCCAGGATGCTTTTTCAGCTTCCCAATCTAGCCTACAACTCTGAGATTCTCTGGTAGGCTCCCATACCACTATTCACCAATAGGGCTGTGCGAAGCCTTTGAAGGAAGTGCCTTGGAATGTGCAAGAGCACAAACAAAGCGCTTGTTTTCAAACGGATGAACCAGCCATGCCTTTTTCCAGGCTTGTCCACCTGCTTTGGCAACTGCTCCCGGCAGTCTCTGAATACTTCTGCATGCACATCTTTGATCTG